TATTAACCTTTCTACCTCATCATAACTCCTAAATAACATTTCCATTTCAGTTGTACATCTAAATTAAAATAGTAAGGATTTCATTTACTTCATCTAAACACTTTCTGTCAATACTCGTCACAAGACTTTTCCCAAGGTTGTGATGTAGATTGATGGAAAACCCTTCCTAGGACAAAAGTAAGGCACTTTGTGAGTGGACCCAAGCCACAATAAACTAATAATGCATTTTCCACACAACGAGCCCTTAACCAACCTTAGCACAAAAAGATTTGCTCATTAGTCTTTGCTAAAAATTTGGCACTTGGTTTTCTGGAAAGAGGATTTGCACACTACTTGATTAGTTTGAATATAGTCATTTGTGTTTATTATGTTAAACTTAATTTGTAAAGATTTTTGGTCACTAGCTCTACTTCTATGATTAAACATGGTATACAGAGTTTGTATGTTGATATTATTTGATGCATGGCATCTTATTTGTTCTAATTAAAATGCTGATCCTTTTCATTATGTGATACAAAGAACTAATTTGCAAATAGTAGATCCCTATGTTAAAACAATTCATTATTGCCTATATTATATTCTGTCTCTTGAAACATAATTTCTTAACATAAAACCTGTTCCGTTACTATTTAGTTCGAAAAGCAAGTATTAGTTTTTTTTTTAACAACATCAGGGGAAGTATTCTGTGGACAAGAATTATCCGCTTTAATAGACTGTAGAGATGGGTTACATGTGATTATTCATTTATAAAAGTATCCCTTTCCTTAAAGCAAAACATTGCTCTTTTAGTTGTTACATTAATTGTTGTATGGTTATTATATTTATTTTAAAAACTCCATCTATATATTTTAGATGCAAATCTTTGATATATTATGCAAACCTTATGTATTAATCATATAGTTAAGTATCTACTGTACGTCTGACATTATGTTAGGAATATAGTATGGAACAGAAGTACGAAATGTATATGTGTTTAACATTTATTACTAAAAGGAAAACAGTGATAGGAATCCCTTTTGGTTCTGGAGAAGAAATACGAGTTGGATGTTAGAAAAATATGCTTCCTATTTGCTATGATATAACTAAGAAGATACCATGATTTAGGGAAAGACAATTGAGCTAGAAGTGAGAATTCTAGTTCTGTCTCTTCCACTTACCAGATATGTAAATATGTGTAAGCTATTTCAGATCGCTGACTTTTTATTTTCTCATCTGTCAAATGAAGAAGTAGGTTACTTGATCTTGAAGGTCTCTCCCAAAATCCTGTGTATCGGTATGGGTTCAGGCTCCCTTAAAATTGAAACTAAATGCTGTTGAACAATTAGGAAGTTTGAAAGGGCTTCCTGATTTGTTTGGGTTTTACTGTCAAGCTGTGGGAATCAGGCAAAAGAGACCACTGTGTACTGGGGGTTAGGTACAGAGCCTTTAGCCTTTGGATGGGCAGGTTTGGAAGAGTAAGGGAGAATGGCCTGAGCTACTAAGGAGACTAGTAGGAATTGAGTGTATTATTGCGTTACCGAAAATAATAATAAGTTACTAATAGAGAACTTTGAAAGTCAGATAAAGATGTTTGGACTTGATACAATAGGGAGTCAATGTGGGCTCTTGATCTAAGAGAATTGCTGTAGTATTATAATTCAGTGTAGAATGCAGGGGGCAAGATAAGTTAATGACAGGAATTTATGCAGAAATGATTGGGGCATATTCTAAGATGGTGGCATTAGGATTGGTAATTTCAAGAGGTCTTTTTTAATTAGGAAAAGTTCCAAACACGGAAAAAGTTGAAGAGTGCCCAAAACACCCATATGTTCCCACTACCTAAATTCAACAATTGTTAGTATTTTGCCTATTTTCTTTATTTGTAAGTATATATGTAGAATTTTTTTTTGACATAATTTTAAACTTATAGAAAAGTTGCAAGAATAGAACAAGGAACCTCATATACTCTTCATTCACATTCTCCAAATGTTAACATCTCACCCCCATTTGCTGTTAACATTTTACTGAATTTGATTTATCCTTATTCCTCTTCCTCCTTCTCCTGTCTCTCTGAATCATTGAGAGTCATTTGCAGACATGATAGCTTTTACTAAGTACTTCAGTGTGTATTTCCTATTTCTCTTACATAACCACCATACAATTCTCAATATTAAGAAATTAACATTGGTACGTTACTGTTCTAAAATCCACAGACCTTATTCACATTTTGTCAGGTTTCTCAATAATGTCATTTATGACAAGAGAAGATCATGCATTGCATTCAGCTGTCATGTCTCTTTTGTTAGTCTGGAACAGTTCCTCAGTCTTCCTTTGTGTTTCATGACATTGACATTTTTGAAGAGCACAGGCCAGTTATTTTGTAAAATGCCCCTCAGATTCTAGCTATGCATTTTTTGGCAGGAATGTGACAGAGATAATATTAGGTATCATATCATGAGGCACCTGATGTTCTATTACTGGTGACGTTAACTTTGATCAGTTGATGAAGATGTTATCTACCACGTTCCCCCAACTGTAAAGTTCCTGTTTTCCATTTTGTTATTAATAAGCATCTTATGGGAAGCTAGTGTCAGACTGTATAAATATCCTGTTACCCATCAGACTTTTAAACACTTGGTTTTAGAATCTACCTGACAATCCTTGCCTGATCCATTATTATTATTATTATAGTTGTCAAATAGTGATTTCATAATTCTATCATTTTTTCTCTATTTATTAGCTGGCTTTCTGTTATAAGTAAGAGTCTTCTCTTTATTTATCTATGTCAGTGTAATTCATGGATTTATACTCTGTGCAATTGGTAATAATCCATCACTATCATTATTTTGATGTTCAAATTGTTCCATGTTTAGCCAGTGAAAGCCCTTCTGTCTTTTTAACATGACCCAATCATTCTTTGAGCCCTTTCTTACTTTCTGGCACATAAGCTGTTCTAGGTTCATTTTTATAATTTCTCTTCCTTAGCCCTGGTCAGCCATTTCTCCAAAGAGCCCTGGTTCGTTTTAATGGAAAATGGTACTTAGAAACTGAGATGTAAGTGGTGTCCTCATTGCTACGGGGGGTAGCAGTCTTGGCCCACTCAGTGGACAGACTTGAGAAATAGATGTATATACTTATGTCCATATGTGTATGTATTTATTTCTCACATATGTCTCACACGTTTATATTTATTTCTACATTTGCATTTCTTTATATATTCAAATCTATTAGAGTTCATACTCTTAACTCATACCCTACATCACAGCATTAATTCTTGCTTTCCTATTTCCATATCTATAACTAATATCTTCAACAGTGAGAAAATTGACTCCCTTTATCTACAATATATTTATTTGATCATTTTTAGAATAAACAGAAAGTAGTTTTCAGAAGTACTAGCCTATGCTTCTGTCAAAAAGAAGCCTACATGTAGATATTTTGGGGGGAGTTATCAAATTAACATATACCAACAGGCCTTAACATGGGGCATTTTACTCCATACAGGACATTTGGCAATATCTGGAGATGTTTTTGATTGTTATGACTTGCAGTGGGGAAGTGCTACTGTCATCTAGTGGTAGAGACCAGGGAAGCTACTAAATATCCTACAATGCACAGGGAAGCTCTCACAACAAAGAATTATTCAACCCAAAATGTCAATAGTTCTGAGGTTGAAAAACTAACACAGAGCTAGGAAAATATCTGCTCAAGGATTTTATGTAGATATTTTTTGTCAAACTGGTCAAAAGTAAGATATAGGCATCATGACACTTCTCTCCTAAATGCTTCTAAAAATAAGGACATTGCCCTATGTAATGACAAATCCAGAGATGGGGGCTAGTACCTTTGCAATACTGCAATGGATAGTGTCGAAAGAGCTGTGAAAGAAGTTTTGTAGCTAATGTGATAGGGTTTCTGCCACTGCATACTCACTCTACATGCCCCCACCCTAACCAAAAGACTTTTTGAAGGAAGAATTGATAGGTTGACTAGACTAGATGAAACCAGAATCAAAAGTTTTGACAGGGAAAAATAGTATACAATCTGCGAGTATGAAAACATGTGTAAGTGGCATCCAAGACATATTGTAGTAGTGAAAATGTATTCTTAGCCCCATCCCCCTTTCCTCTTTTTGGCAGCTGGCCGGTACAGGGATCAAACCTTGGCTCTTGGTGTTATCAGCACCATTGTCTAACCAACTGAGCTAACCGGCCAGCCCCTATTCTTAAGCTCTTTTTTTGATGAATTGAAGTCGCTATGGCTGAGGTACTTGTAAACCAAAATAATACTCAAGTAGAATGTGCTAGAAGAATATGGCTTATTTAATGATATATTTATTAAAGGCAGTGTTCAGTAGTAAAAAGTGTTAATACAAGGAAAGATGAACAGAGTGACTGGAGAGGAAAGAGCTAGTTAGGGGAGGGAGCATATTTGAGATGTAATGCTGTATTGAATTTATTTCAGTAAAACCACTTAGGTTATATCATTTAATATTTCAGCAGATATTTGTTATGTGTGCAATGTTGGGGGAATGGTGATCACAAAGTAGGCCTAGGAGAGCTTTCAGCCTAGTTTTTATTTTGTGTTCCACAGCTGGGGTAATTATGCTAAAATGTTTTTTCTTGAAGAATTTCTTTTTGTTTTTCCATTTCCAGTTAAGTTTCAAGTGAAATTTTTCTGACTTGCTATCAAGAAATTTCAAAATTGATGAAGAATAGTATTATGACCATGTAACTGAATTCCAAGTCTTACATGAGCTCTATATTGAATGAAATATATATTAATATATATTTTATAGTGCCATTACTATGAATTACTAATATATTTAACTGTACTCATATTTGTGTTCTTCAGGGTAAAATGGCTAAAATGCTCACTATAATTTGCTTCTAAGTTTTATTTAACTCATTTGTGCTGTGTTGTTTGTGCATGTCTAAAATGAAAGAGATTGCCAGCCTTTGGTTGTAGCGATTATAGTGTGATACTAACTCTTGCTTTTAAAATAACCATATTTTTGCCAGATGACTTGCAGGGTGCACAGTCAGAAATTGAGGCAAAACAAGAAATTCAGCATCTTCGCAAGGAATTGATTGAAGCCCAGGAATTAGCTAGAGCAAGTAAACAAAAATGCTTTGAACTTCAAGGTGAGATCAAGATTACTTTGATTCTTTAGGGGATGTGTGAAGGGAGCATGACATAATTGGATGACCACAAAGTTCAAGTCCAGAGGTATGGTGTCTTGTTCTAGATCCACAACTTGATTAGATATATGATGTTGGGACATTCACTTAACCTCTTTAAACTTATGTTTCAGGTCAGTAAAATAAGGACAGTTACAGTTGCTCTACCTTCTTCACATTGTTGATGTGAAGATCAAGTAAGATCTCTACCAATGAAAGATCTTAATAGTGATCACATATTAAGTACAACAAAAAGAAAAAATGTAATATAAATTTCTGAGTTTTAGTTACTCCTAATGTTAGCTACTTTGTACAGGATAAGGGAAATTTATATTCCCTGTGATTTTTTAGTGCATTCATCAGTAAATGAGAAGAACCAGGCAAGGTGAAGGTATAGAATCTTCTGATGTCCCAGCCACTTTCCTTTCTCATAGCTCACTTATTTACAGTGTCATGAGCCAGTGAAGTCTGCAATATTCCCTAGAGCTTACATTTTCGTATCATTCGCAGTAACTGTGTGGTTGCAGTCAATTAATATCTTAGAGAGTCTTAAAATGAGGTGAAAGTGAATAGCCTATGGAGTTCTCATGCTCTCGAAAATAGCCTTCCTGACCAAGAGGAAGACTCATATCTCAGGAGGAAGCTGTGAACTTCCTATTACAACTCCCTTCCTTTCCTGCTTCTTGAAGAAATTAGAATTAGTGTTCACTTAACTTGAACCTTTTGGAGGTTCCAGGCTAATATATTTGATTACAATGAAAAAATATTTAGCAAACAGTCAGCAATTACTTAGTTTAGTGTTTACTATGTGCTTGGCAGTAAACATGAGGATTTTAAGTCTGTGTTTTAAAATGTCAGCTCAAGGGCCGAGCCCGTGGCGCACTTGGGAGCACAGCAGCGCTTCCACCGCGAGTTCGGATCCTATATAGGGATGACCGGTGCGCTCACAGCGCTCACTGACTGAGCGCGGTATGGCCGGTCTCAAAAAGGACAAAAAAAAAAGTCAGCTCAAAATGCTGATTAACAGTGATCAAGAATGCTTCTTGTGAAGTGCGCTCACAGCGCTCACTGACTGAGCGCGGTATGGCCGGTCTCAAAAAGGACAAAAAAAAAGTCAGCTCAAAATGCTGATTAACAGTGATCAAGAATGCTTCTTGTGAATAATAACATATTATCTAGGTATTACAAGGTCTACAAAACTCCACTATTCAGTTGAATAGATTTATTACTTTACTGTTTTTGCACTCCTAAAATCTTTAAACTATCTAACTGCTAAAATTGATAACACTTATTGCCCAACTTTTGTTTCTTTCAATAAACTTTAGGAGAGAATTTCTTAGAAATTTCCATCTGCTTGATTATATATACTTTCATTAACTCACAAAATTAGATATACTCTGTTTTCACTTTTAGCTCTTTTGGAAGAAGAAAGAAAAGCCTATCGAAATCAAGTTGAGGAATCCACTAAACAAATACAGGTTCTCCAAGGTATGGAACACAACAAGGCTATTTGAGATTATTATTGTTTGTTTTTAGTGATTCAAAAGGAATGGAAAGTAAAAGTGCAGAGGGTCCCCATTTTTCATACCTTTGGTTCTTCTGTAGAACCTGACATTATGACTGGGCTCTTGGTCGAGACTTTTTTAAAAAGAAGATGCAAGGGAAGATTCCCCAGTATTCCAATATTAGACACTTGGAGTGGAAAGAGCAGGGGTGAAACTTTTGATATGGTAAGACTGTCACTTTCTGGGTTATGTCGTGAGTTACTACAGAGAGGGCCTTTGGATAGGAAATTGTTTCAGTTAACTCTGTATCAACACTTTCAGCTTGCTGGTATCAGTATATCTAATACTCAAAACACACTTGCATTGCAACAAAAATTATATAGCACGTGGAGTAATGGTCTCTGTACTGCCTTCGTTGGTAATGGCTGCTCTTCATACCCACCATTTTGCTATTTCTTTGTCTGTGCTATCGCAGGGTCATTATGGAAATGACCAGAAAGACCCCTGCCTGTCAAGTGTACTTCAAGCTGGAGTACCTGGTGCTGTGAGGCTATAATTGTGAGGTACCACAGGAGAGGTTTTTCTTTCCCATGCCAATTAATCTGCCTTTATTGTCAAAGAAGGAACCGATGTTAATTAAAAATTTTAGTTTGAGAGGTAGGGCGGGAAGAAATTAAATAAAGTAATCACAGTTCAGAAAAGATGGGGGATCATTATATGAAGCCTATGAGATTTGCCTAAAAATGTCCCAGAGAAAAACTAGTCTTTTGAGTCCTGTTTTCTTACTTTTTGAGTGAGATATTTGAGTTATTTAAAATTTTGAATTTTATTATGGTCAAATTAGAATTTCTGGGGTAGGTCGTATATATTTTTAAATTGGAAACTCTTTAAATTCTTACTGTAGTTCAATGCCGTTTTCCTTTAGTTTATATAAATCTGATTTGAATCTATAGTTCTATCCTATACTGCATGTGGGCAATTCTCCCTGAAGGATCTGTGACATAGTGCTGCCTTTTGTCTTAAAGCTGTCTTGCCCAGGCATCGTTGAGCGCCCCCTAGTGCCAGTATGTGTTTTTCCGGACTTTATCAACAACTTCATGGTCATCTTTGACCATTGTGCTCTTTCAGATTTTGAACCTCAATCCTTCCTACAAACTTAAAAGGTCTAATATCTTCTTTAATGTTTATTTATGTGGCAACCTCCTCCTCTCTCAACCCTAAATTGTCTTAATTATTTTAATTATTCTCCCTTGGAACTGCTTCTAGTTCTGAATCAAGTATGATTTTATACAAATTGTTTACAGTTTGGGTCATTGAGGGCATAAGACTAAATCTTTTTAAAATATACCTCTTCAATCAGGCAGTATTCATTAATTTTATCAATTAATTCATTCAACCAATAATTCTTGATTGTTTACTTAGCCAGGTATTATGGATAGAGCATTGAGCGAAACAAAGGTCCTGCACACATGAGGTGTACAGTCTAGTTGAAAAAATAAACAACCACCAAATAAATATGTAATGTTCAATAAGGGCTGTGAAGGAAAATAAAGCAGAGTAAAGGGCTGGAGAATGACAGAGGGCTATATTTTAATGAAGTCATCAGAGAAGACGTCTGTAAGGAATTGACATTTGAACAGAAATCTGAATCAAGAACATCAAATGTTTAATGCTTAAAATTTGGCCAAGCAATCCTATGTCTAGGATTCACCCTATCAAAATAATCAGGATCGCATTATGAGCAGCATTGTATATAGTAATTAAAAACAACTTAAATTGTCTAAAATAAAAGAATTGGTCAAATAAGTTATAAGTGTAACTATTTTTTGTTGAGAGCTTTTCATCATCAGGAAGATAGATCTCTCTCTCTCTGTCTCTGTGTCTCTCTCTCTCGCTCTCTCTATATATATATGTGTATATATATATATATATGATTCCTCCCTGTTTAATTGAGAGCTTTTCATCATCAGGAAGATAGATCTCTCTCTCTCTGTCTCTGTGTCTCTCTCTCTCTCTCTCTCTATATATATATATATGTGTATATATATATATATGATTCCTCCCTGTTTAATGTTTGTTTTTGTATGTATATAAATGCATAGGAAAAAGTCTAGAAAGAAAGTCTAAATAAATACCAAAAGGTTAGAAACAATTTTCTGTCTGAGGGAAATAAAGATCACTTGGTTTTTTTCTCTTTGGGTATCTGTATTTTGACATTTTCTGCATCAAACATGGATTGCTTGTACAGTTTTATCAAGAGCAACAGCTCTAACAGTCTGGGCTGTATGTTAGCTACAGTCTTGTGTGGGCTGTTCTTTTATTCTTAATTTCTACAGACCAAGAAAATGATGGTTAAATATACTTTTGTAGCCCAACTGCAGAGATTACACATTGATATTGAGAATCTCCGGGAGGAGAAGGACAGTGAAATCACAAGCACTAGAGATGAATTGCTTAGTGCCCGAGATGAAATTTTGCTCCTTCACCAAGCAGCAGAAAAGGCTGCCTCTGAGCGAGACACTGACATTGCTTCTTTACAAGAAGAGCTTAAGAAAGTGAGAGCTGAGCTTGAGCGGTGGCGGAAAGCAGCATCTGAATATGAGACCCCCCAAAAAAAAAAAAAAAAAAAAAAAAACTAAACAAACAGCAAAGGTCTGTAAATGGTAGTAAATTAAATGGTAATAAATTTTAAATACAAATTGTTTTTCTTTCACATCAGGGAAACCTTCTTTTAGTAGGAGTGATCAGAAGATGAGTATAATAAGGAATTTATACCTCTGAAAGATATAAATTCAGCTTCTGAATTTCAAACAGTGTTATATGAAGAGTAATAATATATAAGATCAAGAATTCTCTAAAACCAGTTCAATCTTTCTAGTATCCAATTCTTTATAAGCAAACCAATGGATGCATTAGTTTTATTTCAGCAACTTAGTGGAGTCCTATTTTTCCACCAACAATTTGTTGTATTTAAACTTAAGTGTAAAATTGGTTTCTTCCTTAAAAATTAGATCAATTTTTTTTTTTTTTTGTCTTTTTGTCTTTTTCCGTGTCCGGCAACGGATCGCAACCCTCAGTGTTGCCCCCGTACCGGACCGGGGACCGGCAACGGGATCGCAAGCCTCGGCGTTGCTCCCGCGCCTCGCTCAGCCAGTGAGCGGGAGCCAGTCTGTATGTGGGATCCGAACCCTCGGACGGGAGCGCCGCCGCGCTTCCCAAGTGGCGCACTATCCAGTGCGCCACCCGGCCGGCCCCAGATCCATTTTTTTTTTTTTTGTCTTTTTGTCTTTTTCCGTGTCCGGCAACGGATCGCAACCCTCAGTGTTGCCCCCGTACCGGACCGGGGACCGGCAACGGGATCGCAAGCCTCGGCGTTGCTCCCGCGCCTCGCTCAGCCAGTGAGCGGGAGCCAGTCTGTATGTGGGATCCGAACCCTCGGACGGGAGCGCCGCCGCGCTTCCCAAGTGGCGCACTATCCAGTGCGCCACCCGGCCGGCCCCAGATCCATTTTTTTTTTTTTTGTCTTTTTGTCTTTTTCCGTGTCCGGCAACGGATCGCAACCCTCAGTGTTGCCCCCGTACCGGACCGGGGACCGGCAACGGGATCGCAAGCCTCGGCGTTGCTCCCGCGCCTCGCTCAGCCAGTGAGCGGGAGCCAGTCTGTATGTGGGATCCGAACCCTCGGGTGGGAGCGCCGCCGCGCTTCCCAAGTGGCGCACTATCCAGTGCGCCACCAGGCCGGCCCTAGATCCATTTTTTTAAAACAATGTGTTCTAATTCAGAATATGGAAGTAGTATGTTTTTCACTGAAGCCACTGTTAATTAATACCAGCTCCCTGCCCCACCAAGTACACCAAAAATGGAAGTCATTACTCCCTTGCTAGCCTTGTGTGTACACTCCTGGAGAGCATTAGGGTTAGCAAAAACTCAGTAATTTAAGGTCAGTTCCCATAGAAAACTACCTGTAGGTAAAAATAATAAAGATGGGACTAGATATATTAGAAAACAATAAGCTTCATTATCTGTTTATAAAAATAATTGTAACGTGGATTATACATTTAAAAAATTAAGAACTAACTGAAGGAACAAGATATACTGATTTATTCTCTAAAATTTCTCTTTGTAATACCATGTGTTCTCAATATAAATAATCTATAAAGCACTTTTATTTTCTCTTCCAATGTTTCTTCATACATTTTCCTTAGTCTTTTCATACATTTTACATATATTACTTTTCAAATGTGTAGACATAATTAATAATAAAGAATAAAACAAATGTTTGTTTATAATATGTTAAAGTTTATAAAACCAATTTCACAATATGAATAGAGCAAAATAAAGACCCAAAACACAAATATTGATGGGTGGATGGATAGATAAATATGTATATGTGTTAAGGAATGAACTGATTATCTGTGTGACAGCACATTTGGACAAAGTGGTTTAAAGTGTGTAAGATGATGATGCAGATACCCACGTTCTTCACATTTGGAATACATTAGGATCTTAGTGAATCCATTTAGTTTGGTATTCTATCAAGCAAGAAATACCGTTTGATTACCAGTGCTGATTATCTTAATTATACTTGTTTTGGAATTATTGATATTTTAAAGATTCATATTTGATCTCTCATTTTTAAGATGTGATTAATTAGAACCAGGCAGATCCTTTAAGTATTGTTTTATAATTACTTCAGATTTTACGTAAGTATGGAAAAACAGGCCCATGAACTCCTTGCAAGTAGAAGCGTATGATTCAAGGGCCGGCCCGTGGCTCACTCGGGAGAGTGCGGTGCTGATAACACCAAGGCCACGGGTTCGGATCCCATATAGGGATGGCCGGTTTGCTCACTGGGTGAGCATGGTGCTGACAACACCAAGTCAAGGGTTAAGATCCCCTTACCGATCATCTTTTAAAAAAAAAAAAAAGAAGCGTATGATTCAAAAATACTGGGTGAAATATATTAGGTTATTGGTCAAGTCATCTGCCTAAACTCACATAAAGTATTTGAAATAGATTAATTCTGTTTCTTAAACTTTTCTGGTGTAGTGTTTCTTTAAATTTATTGGGTAAGCCTACCCAGCATTTAAATAGTATTTAGAAGCTAATCCTCCTTTACTGGGTCCTATGTGCCACTTAGTTTCTAGCTATATTGACCTGACAATATCAGACCCTCCCCTAGGAGTTTACATAGCATACAATCTGAATGGGATTTATACTCTTTAGCACCTCAGTTACAATATTGTACCTAATTCTTATGATCCATTCTGAAAGGCATAAAATTGTTACCTTGAAAACCTTATACTCCTTTAGCTATTTATAGGAGCCAGATTCTCTAACACAGCTACACTATATAGGCCTTTTTTTCTCTGTTGTCTGTAATGTAGAAGGAATAGAACAAGAAATTTTTATTCTTCATATGAAGATGTTTTCTTCATATGTAAATCAGATTTTTTTACATCAAGTTATAAAAGTAATCATAAAATTTAAGCTGGAGAACAGCCTCAGAAATTACTGACTTCAACCCTCTCATTTGACAGTGGAGGGCATGGAGACTTTCCTTGCATCATTTGTATCTGTATAACATGGTGCCTGGCATAAATCTAAGAGCTCAGGGAATGTTTACTGAAAGAAAGGTGACTTGCTCAATATCCCACAGCTAAATAGTGGCAGGGCCAGATTCTCAAACCCAGCCTATGCTTTCCCCCCAATTTGGTGTGTCTTCTCATTTGAGCAGGTTTATCTTTACTTAAGTTGGCAGTGGTTCCTACGCTTTACATTTCTAGCCCCCATCCTATTTGTCAAGTACTTAAACTTATAAGAAAATAGTTGCAGTATTTTTTTCCTGTTGAAGACCTATACTGAATCTATTTATGTATGGTACAATTAATATAATATAATTTGATATTACAAAATATACAATTGATCACCTCCTACTTCTGTATTTTAAATTTCAACCTTTGTGTGTATTTATTTGATGGGACATAGCTTTAAACTTGCAAAATTTTTTTCATGTTTCAATATTTTTTACTTATTGAAAATATCTTCTTCTTTTTTACACCTTTCTTTCCTCTGAAATCCACTTCATCCCTCCTAGTGAAATGTATGACAAATTGGACTTCCTGCTGTGTCCAGTTTGTACCTGTGAATAACTGTCAATATTTATATTGCAGTTCTCAGAAGCAGAGTTTAGAGCTTACCAGTGATCTCAGCATCCTTCAGATGACTAGGAAAGAGCTTGAGAATCAAGTGGGATCCTTGAAAGAACAGCATCTTCGGGATTCAACTGATTTAAAAACTCTTCTCAGTAAGGCTGAAAACCAAGCAAAGGATGTACAGAAAGAGGTAAAGCGAAAAGACATTATGAGCCCAATTATGGTTGGACTTAAAGCCAAAAGCAAATCAGATATTCATGCTAGTTAGAAATAAAAGGAAGCAGAAGTCAAATTACCTGTCACTAAGTTGATAGTTGGAGCATCCCTGCTTAGTGATTTCTAATTGTATATTGTGTTTCATATACAGAGGGTTCATTGGTAGGGTTTGGTCTCAAAAATATAAATATAGAAAATTACATTTTAATTTTTCTCTCCCAGGTAGTTGACCTGTATGAGAAGCCCTTTGTACCAGATCACTTGATCCATTGTCTATTTTTCAAAGAGAGTATCATATTTAACTTAGAATAGTTTTGGAAAGCAAACTGGGGCCATACTGTAATACTGCCTGAACCCCTCAGGTAAAACTGGCCTGAAAAGTTACTTAAAATCTACTTCATAGCCAGCCAATGAAACACATGTCCTATGACCTTTTACTTTCCCTTTTTCCTTTCTTCACAAATACACGTGCTCACTTTTCATGTCATTTTGCTTAAAACCTTGACTTGGAGGCTTTTTAAAAAATCATATCTGGGGCTGACCCTGTGGCACACTCGGGAGAGTGTGGCACTGGGAGCGCAGCGACGCTCCC